GAGGGTCAGAGAGAAAGAAAAAGTCTCAAGCAAACTCCATGCTCAGCACGGGGCCAGATACAGGCCTCCATCCCACCACTCTGGGATCATGACCCGACTGAAATCGTGAGTCACATGCTCAACAGACTGAGCCACCCAGGTGCTCCTGCAAAGCATCACTTTAAATAAGCCTGGACTCCACTCAGCTGTGAGCCAGACATCATCAAGGGCGCTACAGACGAAGACCGGGAACCAGTCCTAGCAATGCTGGACCAAGCACCTGGGGCTTTCTATGCTCCCCACAAAGTAACAGGAATAATAATCTCAGGGACAAAAAATGTACCAAGCTCTTGACATATATGAATGATCTTTTTCACTGTAATAATCACTCCATTATTTGGCAGGTGAAGAAACTTAAGTTCGAAATGGTAAAGTGACTTGCCCAAGACCACAGAGCCAGGAAGGAGAGGCAATAAAAGAGGTGGGATCCTAATTCATATCAGTCTCAGGCCAGGGCCCAGTCAAGAGTCTGCCTGTTGGGACCAACAAGCCCTGGCTCTGGCAGCCCCCAGGGAGCGGCCTCGCCTGCCCTCATCTTACAGATGGAGAAACTGAGACCCAGGAAGAAATCGATTTGCCTGGGTCACGGAGCAAATGGGGCCATAACTGGAGACTTGAAAGCAGAGAGCAGTCTTACTCCGTACACGTTCCGACCCCAGAGCTGTCCTCCTGGGCAGGGTCTACACTGTGCCTGGTTACGACAGTGCTTACGGAAAGTCTGTCTGGGTCCAGGCCAAGCCTCAAACTCAGTGCTCAGACCTGGGGGGAAATAATCTACGTCTATGGACCAAACGTGGCCCGCAGCTGCCCCTTTATAACCTGTCTTAAACCTGTGGCGCGCCTGACATGATTTTTTCCTTGCCCTGCAAGCCGCCCGCGGAAAAGCTTTCCACCGGGAATCAAGAAACAAGACTCCGATCCCGCATCAGTCGCATCCTTCACGCAGCCTTCACATCCACGTACGCTTTGCAGAGCAAAGGGACCCAGAATGCGCAGGGAACAGGGAGGACTCGACGGCCGGTCCCCCGGCGCCCGCCGCGGTTCCCGCCAACACCGGGCCACGGCGGCCGGGCTCCGCGCGTTCGGGCCCCCACGCCGGCTCCGGCCGAGCCCAATGCCCGACTCACGTTTCTCCGCGCCCCGGAGTTCCCGAAGACTGCCCCCACCGAGCTCCCGCATGCCCCAACCAAGCCCGACAGGTCCCGCGGCCACGCTTCCGGGGCCGCCAAGCACCAACTCCGGCGGTTTCGCCGCTTGTTGCCGGGGCAACAGACCGATGACGGAGCGTCGCGAGGGCCAAGCCGCCTCCAACGCGATACCGGACACTCAGACAGAAAGGAGGTTGTGATTTTTCTCTGGCGCCCTCTCGTGGGGGGAGGGAGATCAATCGCAAATGTCGCTGGTCCCGGAAACCAGCAAGGAGGAGGGTAAAGGCATCCAGTCACTACTACTCAAAATTCAGGGTGGTGGTTACCTGGAGT